CCTCCAACCCTCAATGCTCCTCCCCCCATCCACACTGAGATGACATGTGCTGCTTATCGTGGCTGCAGGAACTGAAGTGTGGATAGTCCCAACCCACCACCCCACCTAGTGGACACTTATGTTGTGTGTTGTCTGAAGTCTGTTGCATGTCTGTCTGAGGTGTTTTTTTGCAGAGCAAAGCTGCCCTCCTGGTGGGAGGGTAACTCTGAAGTGCCTTTTTTTCCCTCCACCTGAACCAATCCTCATGTAACCCTCTGATCTCTATTAAGGTAGCGCGACTCAGGGTTGTGAATGACCACAGTCGCCAATTCTTGTCATGTGTCTTGCCCATGTATGTCTGATCTCTGAATTGTGTGTACTGAAACTCTAATTTCCCTCTGGGATTAATAAAGTATCTTTGATTGATTGATTGATTGATTGATTGATTGATTGATTGATTGATTGATTGAACACCATTGTTCTAGATTATAGGACAGATTGCCAGCACTAGCTTCTCTGTTCTGTGTGTGTTGTAGTGTTGTAACTGTCCTATGTTACTACATAACCATCACTAGCCTTGACGTAGGTTTGGACCCAGAGCGCAGATGGACTCTCGCATTAGCCAGACGGTTAGATCTTCCTATCAAAGATGAAGTCCATCCTGAAAAGACGCGACCTGCACACAGTAATCCACACATTTGTGATCTCTTGCCTGGATTAGGGTTAGGGTTAGTTTAATGGATCTTCCTCGGTGGCGCGCCTCCTGCTGGTGCAGAAGGCGGCGGCCCACCTCCTGACGGATTCCAGATGGAAGGAGCATATTACTCCTATTCTGACCCGGCTGCACTGGCTACCGGTGCGCTACCGCATCCGATTTAAATTTTCATTTGTATTTTTAAATTACTTTATCTTTGTGCACCTCTGTACTTGACCCAACTGGTTCACCCCTACCTGCCAGGTCGGGCTCTTCGGTCAGCAGACCACCGCCTGTTACAGGTCCCAAGAGTTCGGGTGAGGACACGAGTAGAACATACGTTCTCAATCTCTGCGCCTCGTCTCTGGAACCAACTCCCTCTGGCAGTTTTATGGTCGTTACTGTGCTTCTTTTATTACTTCTGACTTGTGCGTTTTGGTTTATACGTTCCACCCTTATTCCAGTGTACAGCACTTTGGTCGGCCTTGGCCGTGTATAAATGTGCTTTATAGATAAAAAGAATGAATGAATGTTCTCTGTTACTGATGTGGAAAAACAGATGGCATGTAATCTGGTGGCTGAACGTTATTCGCATCATGGAATTCCAAAACCAGTCAGTAAAAGAGTTCCTATGCAAACTGCAACACAACATCTAGACATGATCGCTAATTTTAACTGACCGTAAAGTATTTTCTGTCTCCAAGAATGGGGCGAGGCCCTTTGAGAGGGAAGGAAGGTGATTTGGTATAGACGTTTGTCTAATAGAATACTAACATACTGACAACTGCTCGCGTCTGGAAGCACTTTTATTCACTTAGCTTGCTTTTAGCACCCCCTAGTGTCTGTTTGAAAAACTGAAAGCAAAACCTATCCCCTTGCTGTGCGTTTGTCTTTTTAACACCTTAATCAAACTACTGAAATGTCTTCCCAGCTTCGTTATTGTCTACAGGAGTGATTCATCACTAAATTAAACTAATCAGCTGTGTTCATGATCTAAAACATGCAGGAACCAGACTGCAGCGCCGGGTATGTCAGCTCAATTTTTCTAAATCCCGACAGAGCGGGCCCGCCAGTCTGAAGTTGCAAGTGGAATATTCTGGCCACAGGGGGCGAAAGGGGCTGGGTGGCCTTTCTTTAACCCTGTAACGGGTCATTTTAGCACGAATCCCTTTAAAGATGAGATGTTTTATACAACCATGTGAAAAGGTTTCCCAGTGATTCATGGCATGTATAACAAGCTGTTACGTTATATAATGCACACTGAAACGTGCAATGGGTGCAATCCATAATCTCGCCTAAGGCAGCCGACTTTGCGGACAACAAAGAAACACAGTATGGACCATGCCCGTCCACTGACAGGTCCCATTCATCTCCTCCTGATTCTTAACAAGTGCAGACAGGAAGCTTCTGAATGCATCCCACTAACCAGAAAGGCTGCAAAGCGTCCAAGAAATGTATCCATGTTGGCAAAAATCAATATGGTTTACAAATCTGGTTTATCCACTGGAGCCTAAAGACCAACAGTTCATTCATGGCCAGCCGGCTCCAGCAAAACAGAACATCAATTTACGGCGCACAGGCCGACCGGAGTGAGAGAGGACGTGCTCTCGGGGAGAACATAATGAAATCAACACAAACAGCAGCAGAAAAACGGCCGTGCCTGTGGAGCACGCTGATTCACTTCTTGTCAACAACGACCAGAGGCAAACCGCTTGCGCCGGAGAGTGTGCGTTACGTCACCTGGACGCTCTTTAATCCAAGCCAGGGTGCACAGCTGTGAGTCCAAGATAAGCAACGACCACTGATACATAACCGCACAAATTACAGCAGCTGCTGCTGAGCGCCTGCAGACCACTGAGCCTACCACCTCAGCCTTCAGAGACGCAAATAATGCAACAAATGACTGGAATCAGCTGCTTTTCTCCTCTAAGCGCTGAGCCCACACTTCCCTCTGAAGTGGAGATGTGAAGTTTCAGTGTACAGCAGAGTGATTTGTTGTTTCCAGTGAAGTGTGAGAACGCTGGTTCTGATGTGCTGAGCTGGACGGCGTTCACAAGGGCCCAGTAAAGCATTTGAAAGGGCATCAGTGTGTTCTGGTGGAATAAATACGCGGCTCATCACAGCTTGATGGTAAGCCTAGACTAGAGGGTCTTTATGGTTTGTTGCTTTAGAGAACTAAATACTCAACATATTGTGTTTCTGTTTCTATCGTTAAAAGTTTGTCCAAATATTTCGCAATTCTTCGAGTTTGGAAATTTGCATTTTAGGGCCAACTCATCAATAAAACTCTTCACCTAGCAGCTGTAAGAGAACCACACGGAAACAGTCGCCGTGCTGTTAGGTATCCTCTCAGGAATATTGCATCACGTTGTTGACTTTTTCCATTTAAAATGTAGCTGGCAAACCCATGCAGGAAACAATGTGGTCTTCTAATGGCGAGTGGAACACGGCTGTGAGTGTCACTCGGGGAAACGCTGACCTGACTTAGATAAACAGAGAGCCGGTGAGCCTGGTTCTGGTGTGGTGCTTATTTTCTGTTGCTTCCATTCTGCTTCACAAGCAACTTTTCTAATTTTACTAATGCCGGTTGTTTTGAACGGCGTCTGCTGATGTAATTTCTGACTGAGCTAGAACCAATCGGAGTTAGTTGGCCAAAAGTTCCGCTCAACAACTCCACCGGCCGTTCCAAGTACCTAATTGATGAGGTACTCAGAAAGTTCCTGAAAACAAGCCGGAAAACGGATTTTTGTCCGGCTTGGTCTAGTGGGGACACGTGCATGTCGGGAAGTTCTTGTAAATTTACCCTGGAGTTCCGGTAATGGAAACGCACCTAATGAGTCTTATCAATTATTGTTTTATCGAATTACAAAAGTCACACAGTAGTAGTAGTGTGACAGTGTGAGGGTCCTGTCACTGTGTCGCGATTGATCGTGCGCACTCACTACTTGTCCCTTTGGCTGACTGGTTAGCACGCGTGACTCTCACCCGGGAGTCTGCGGATCGAATCCTACCCAGGACCTCGTTTCTCCGCCTTTCCACAGAAGTAACACTGAAGTCCAGCACCCTTCAACATCTCTCAATGAGTATAGGATTAGGGAGGCTAAGTCACGCCCATCTACCTCCGGACCATGGGTCCCTGCCGGAAGAACGAAAAAAATTGTGCAAGTCAACGGGGCTAAAAACGTGATTTCCTAATTCCGCTTGTTTTGAGCCATGGTTATCACATATGATGTCCTTGTATTTTAAAGACACATTTTGATACCAAGAATGCGCCTATTTTCGAACGGGGAACGATATTTTAGGTTTTGTGTGAAAATAAGTCCAGGACTACAAATACGCTTCACAAAAGTGACGTCATCAAACCAGACATACGGAGAAAACTGAGGCAAAAGGGCTGTAAGTTCAGCAAACTTCCCACAGGAGGCAAGAACCACCAAAAATCTGTTCATGTGGTGAGTAGCAGCTACGCTAGGGGAGAGGAGATTCTGTGGTGACGTGCAATATGTCGATGTCTTGTTTGTAGTCATGCTAATTAAGAACTTTTACAAGCTGATGAATCTCAATGTATGTGACAGGTGTGGTCGAAACACCCATCAGTACTATTCATTTAACTTGCAGTACGTGTGCGATCCAGGGCGTAAGGCAAAGCAGATTAGAAAATTGCTCTTTTAGCCCCGTTGGCTTGCGTTCATGTTTTCCTTTTTCCAGGGACCCATGAGCCGACTGTACAGGGAGGAGACTCAGGCTCCCTATTAAAATAATTATTATGACTATTTTTGACTGGCACATAACTAAATGAAGCTTTTGTATGAATTAAGTGTTCAAGTAGCCCACACAAATACTACTTCATTTTCAATAAGAGAAATGTAGATCTTTTATCCTTATGGTGTCCTCTTCTGATCATTTTTCGCTTAAAGAGCAACTCACCCCCAAATAAACGTTTTTGTTGCTGATAAACTAAATAAACGAGTGTCTAATCGTGCTGCAGACACGTGTCGTCAATAATTTGGCACTTCAGTGCATCTTAGTTAAAATTTAAATATTCTGCCTAAAACTGACAGTGTTGTGCCGTTGTTAGGTAAAAACTCTGCACTGTATTTTAATTTAAATCTGCCACCGCTATTGGCTAAGAAGTATGCTATGATGTAAACTGGTACATTATGATGTCACAATGCTGTCGTGAGCCTGAGTGTGTGTGTATTTGTTAGCGGCTCCGTCCTCTCGGTCTGCCAGGCAACAGCATGTGTTGCATTTTTCAAACATGAAGTGGGAGTGGAGTTAGACTCTGGTAGGGGTTGACTTGCTCTTTAAATAATGGTCTAAGGTGTTTTGAGAATGCCAAATGTTCAAAAACCATAAATGCATCTTTTGGAGCCGCGTTAGAGGTAACATCGCCCCAGTAGATGACTTCAGGTCTCACTGTCTAGTCCCTAAAGGCTGGGACACACCCCTCCGGTTTCTTTGTGTCCGATTATCACCTCCAGGTGAGTTTGTTTACCAGCTTTTCTCAATCCCAGGCGGGAAGCGTCTTTTGGAATTCTAGGATGGTCGTCTCAGCTTCACGAGCGCCACGATAACGGACTGTACCAACTTCGATATAAGCAAGGGGGAGCGAGAAAGCGTAGCGAGATGTTTTTCTCCCGTAGCCACGGCAGTAAATAGTCCGATTCAAAGCCTGAGCTGTCACGACTTCTATTAAACGTATTTCTGAACGTGTTTGAGTGAAGATAACCCACTTTTTCCGCGTTGGCTGCTTACGTGCTGGCAGATAAGTTTCTCGCCCCCCTACAACCTCCGAGGGTCCGGCTTCCCGTTTGATTGACGCTACATGTTTTTCTGGGTGCTGAATTTTTCCTGCTGCTGCTGGTCGAAGGAAAAATAATCTGCGGGGGAGAAACAGGAGGACACCTGCGGAAAAACAAGACAGAAGGGGGAGAAAATTGTGAAATAACAGAATTGCGGGAGGACTGGTTTGGAAACAAGAGAAATAGCGCGAGGGAGGCACGAGACTTGCCATATTTTTTGAAGAAATCCTTTAATTTTCCCTTGCTAGCTGCATACAGAAAGGTGAGTTTTTGTTTTGTTCTCCTGCATTCACAGCCCGTCCTTGAATTATTCCGAGAGTGATTTGTCTGCCTAAGTGGAGTAAGTCTTATTTTTCATTCACCAGTCGTGCAAACACACATTTGTGTGTCTTCACCCTTTTCCGTGTAGTTATGTGTTGGAAAAGAATCCAAGATGGAGAAAAAAACCGGTAAATACCGACGCTTACGCGTGTTTTTAATGGGGGAAAACAAAGATAGTGTAGATGTTTGCAGCCAGCCCAGTGAGCTGCTGCTTTTAACGCGAGAGCTTGTGACAGAGAGTGTTATTGACGCGCACATGTGGCGAAGCCTGTGGGTCTTTGTTGCTCTCCCCCTCCTCCTCCTCCTCCTCTCTGACCTCCTTCCTCCGTCAGTGACCGAGCCATGACAGAAGATAGCGCTGACATTTTCCTGCAGCAGCAACTTGAGTCATGTGTTGCCCCTCCCCACCTTTCCTCGCGCGTGCCTGCCTTGGCGCCGCAGCCCTGATTGTTGCATGGCAGGATGGGTTTTATTTACCTGATGGCTGTTTTCCTCCAACAGGGAGGCCGCTGTGGCTCCGAGCCGCCACATTGCTTAATATGTGTCGGATGTCAAACGGAGGTGTGTGTGAGTGCGTGTGTCCTCGCGACAGCACGTAAGAACAGGCTGAAAACAATTCTTAATGCAAGGAAAATATGGTTTTCACGAAAGCCTCGTTGAGTTTCTAATAACCCATATCCTGGCTGCATGGAGGGTATTTTCTATTTAGTGCGTCGTGCCAGAGCCTGCGCGCGCGCGCGCACACACACACACACACACACACACACACACACACACACTATGGATCAAGAGGGTTTCAAGCTGCACTTTTAAGGCAAGCCAAGCTGCTATATAATAGTGTGTCGGGGTCTTCAAAGCAGATGGCTATAATTAGGGATGTAAGAAAATATCGATATGGCAATATATCGTGATATTTTCCCCAGCAATATTATATCGATATTCAAAAGCAGTGTATCGGAAAAATTTATATGGCAATATACCGTGATATTTTTCCTGCGATTATTAAATCGATATTCAAAAGCCGTGTATCTAATTCCTGAAAGAATTTACATGCAAACTTTTGTGCATTTTCTTTTCGTTTTGCGCAATTCAATCGCCACCCGCTAGTTGGCAGCAGTGTGCAGCGGGTTTTGTTTCCACCACTGAAATGTAAATCCCTCCATCATGGTTCAGATACCTCATGTTAAACATGTTACGTATCAGTTTGGACTGTTTATTGAACAGTCTTACCAATTAATTCAGTAAAAAAAATGCTTGTAACGTCTGACTGAATGTATCGCAATATATCGTATCATCTCCCCTGTATCGTGATATGTATCGTATCGCCAGAATTTATAAAATACACATCCCTAGCTATAATTATTTAATTTCAGCTCATACATAATTCTAGAGCTGCGTTGTTTCTCTACAGAACTCATCATCCTGGTTATTTAACATAACCACAATGACATTATTGTTGTATTTGTACAACAAGATGACTCTAGCACCTCTACACAGGGGCAGCAGTAGCTCAACAGGTTGAGCGGGTAGTCCAGTTATCGGAAGGTTGCAGGTTCGATCCCGGCTACGGACAGAGAATTCTGCTGTCATGTCCTTGGGCAAGACACTTAACCCACGTTGCCTGCTGGTGGTGGTCGGAGGGACTGGTGGCGCCTGTGCTCGGCAGCCTCGCCCCTGTCAGCGCGCCCCAGGGCAGCTGTGGCTACATCGTAGCTCACCCCCACCAGTGTGTGAATGTGTGTGTGAATGGATGAATGATACACTGTAGTGTAAAGCGCTTTGGAGTCCTTACGCTATACAAGTGCGGGTCATTTATCATTTACAACACTGGTCTTTCTCTGCTTCAGCACACCTGATTTACACCGGTGTCGGTGCAAGATCGGCTCGGGGTCCTTCGACTGCCGATGACGTCAAAGTACGGCAAACCCACTCGGACAAAATACACTACACATCTATAGTGTTGGAAAGAATTTAGCAGTTTCGTTATTAAAATAATGTTTCTTAAGACGTAAGTTTGTGTTTATAATGGTATTTGTAAAATAAAACACTATAATTTATTCATAATTAGGGTTGTCACGGTATGAAAATTTAACCTCACGGTTATTGTGACCAAAATTATCACGGTTTTCGGTATTATCGCGGTATTTTTTAAACGGTGTTGCATATGTTCAGAAAGCATTGATAGTCCTGTTCTACACAAACTGAAATAGTTTTGAAAAGGTTTAACAGTGTTTATTAAACCTAAAATAACACAAAGCCTTAGCAAAAGTGCAACTTTTCACAAGTAAAGGGACAAATAGCTTATTTTTCTGGAACATGTTACAGTAGTCAGTGCAGGTTTAAATGATACAAATCCAAACATTCAAAACATAAACAATATGTAAACAAATCAAAGAAACACCACTTGTTTTCTCATATACTTGTTTTCTTCATTATCAAAATGAAAATCTAAAACTCCAGTCCACACTTGACTTGAGCACTGTACAAGTCAACCTTAAAAAATATGTATTTAAAATAAATATCCACTTTAAACAAATTACTAAAATAACTACTACACTATGTAATCAAATCCAAACGTTCAAGTATAAATGGCATTGAATAAGTAAACAAATCAATGACAAGGAACTAATTGTATATTTCTCTTCATCATCAACAAATAAGATGCTTCATCCAGCAACAGGGTGTCCGTGACACGGTTTAAATGCTGCCAGAGGACGCTGCGGCTGCAGTATATAGTGACTCGTTGCATTCTCCCTCAACCAAAAGTCCTCACGTCATGCATTTCAGCTAAAATGCTAATGTTAACTTACCTTGCACTGGCTGTAGAGACGTGGGTGAGGGTCACGCAGATGTGCCATTAGATTCGAAGTGTTGCTGCCTTTTGCAGACACTTGTTTCCTGCACGTTCTGCAAACGGGATAGCCGTCTTCTATTAACTGTCCCTCAGCATTTTTCAGAAATCCAAAATATGCCCATACTTCCGATTTAGTCTTCTTTGAGGGCGGATGGATGTCCTGGGCGCTGCCGTCTCCTCCTTCGGCCATTATTTCAGCTTCAAAGTTTTGGTGCCGTTGCAAACTAAAAAGTGCGTGTGCGCGCCGCGGGAACTTCAGCTGAAGCGACGGTGGCTGGTAAGGGTCATCGCGCCGAAACCGCGGCCACGGTAAACCCACCGAGATAATTTAGTTTTTTAAAAACTGGACGGTTATTTTTATTGTCAACTTTTTTACCGGGGTTTACCGCTATACCGGTTACCGTGACAACCCTATTCATAATGTTGAACTCCTCTTTGAGCACATCCCTTGAAGGATCATAGGTATTAGCAACACCTGTGAAATTGTATTTGCAGGAAAGAAGTGTGTCCCGTTTATTGAAGTATTTTGTGTTTAGAGTTTTTGACGTCTTGTCCATGCGTAGTTCAGGTACGCTCATAGCTGCTAGCCAAAACTCTGGAGTTAAAAGTTTTCTGGCTTTACTAAAATACCTGTCTGTACTTATTTGATTGATGGTAGTTTTACTTTCTATTAGAGTCCAAATGTAATCATTTGGCATGTTTTTAATTCATAATTTGTAAGAATGTAATCGGTGATATTAGCATTAGCACTCCTATGGGTTTTTCCATGTATATTAGCATTGCGCTAACCACTCGCTGCCAAATTGCAGCCTTTGCGATTAGAAAATCTCCTTTTGTCACATCGCAGTTTAATTGCACATGAAATTAATCGTTCAGCCCTAATATACATGCAGCTCTATGCTAAAAGTGTATTTTCAAAGAGGTAATGATGGATTTCTTTGTAAAAGTCGTCCATCTTTCCAACAGAAAGATTTGCCTGGACCAACGTAACGTGACTACGTAAGGTTCATGTTCAGCCAATCAACTACTTTGACGTCATCGGCAGTCGAAGGACCCCGAGCCGATCTTGTACTGACACCGGCTCCTCAGGAGGAAATCTAGTGCTGCAGATCACTCATCAATTTAAGTCAGGTGTGTGGCAGCAGGGAAAGAAACACAGGTGTTTATAAGGGCAACATGGAAAACATGCAAGACAGTGTGCCCTGAGGACTAGGGTTGGGAAACACTGCCCTACACAGATCTGCATCAAACAATCAAATACAATTTTAAAAATGATCGGCCAAAAGACGCACTTATAATACAAACATTTAAACCGACTCACTGAGCTGGGAAACCATATCCAGAGTTTACATTCTATGAAAATTACGGGCAGTGATTAATATCATAGCTGTGGAGTTTGTGATTGTTTAACTCGTTCTCTGCCAATGTCGTCATTTGCTTTTTTTTTTTTTTTTTGCTGCATGGGCGTCAGACGAGCCCCCGCACCGTGAGAACAAACATCTCA